CACACACACACACACACACAAACAAACAAGCACGCACACACGCGAATACACACACGCACAGCGCTAACTTATTAATATATCTTATTACTTCTGGAAAAATAATATGTCATAGATTCTAGGAGGTGAAACCTACTCGTGAACCGTCGCGTTCTATTGTAATGGTACCCGTAAGAGTAAGAGTCTAAAATGACTAAGAAAAATGTCATACAAGGAAGTACAACATGTAAATGAACTTCCTTTCGAAAACTTCGACATAGATAGAGCCGACCCTGAAAAACTGGTCAATCGTATTCATAGACATGCATAATGAAGATGGAAAGCGCCACAGTAAGTTAGGTCTTGCCCATCTCCTTCCCGCTTTACTTCTGTTCCTGTCGGAGTTGACCTCTCTTGGTTTTCCCCGCCTCTAACCAACGGTAGATCTAATTGTGTCCATGTGCTTTTCTTTGTTCAGGGGGGGGGGGGAAACCATCAAGGGGTTAACTTGTTGTTGTTTTTTCGTTGAATAAAGAGAAGCACATCGATACAATAAGGTCATTCGGTGCAGGGGAAAAGGTAAGTCAGACAGACAGGCGAAAACAAGAGAGGGAAAGAAGATAAAAAGGCGCCCTCCAACCACCTACATCGAGAGACTTCCTGGTAGGTTTACGTATAGTCAGAAAAGCGCTCATATTATGACCGTATGCAGTTGCGAGCGCCGTAAACCCCTTACTAAAAAAAAAGAGTAAAAAAACACAAAAACCCAACAATTATTAAGCTCACCGTGCCGAAGTGGTAGAAATGTGGGGCCAGTTCAGACAACCAGTCAGGCTCGATCACCGTGATGTCTCGCATGTAGTCCTTGGTCGTCTGCACCACTTCGTTGAACACAACCCTGGAGACAGATCAAAATGAGATAAAACACTTGTCTTATTTTTAATACTTTTAGTTTTGGTAAGTTTGTAGTGGTTTTTTTTTTACGGCATTTGCAACACAAATACACGTGGATCTAGGCCATTTAATACGTGCCGAAAATTAGAGGTGTTGCTTGAGAGTAACTGAGTATCATGCAAATGTGTGTACCACCAGTAATTATTTCGTGGTACAATCATTTGCACTTCACTTCACTACCCTCAGCCCCCTAAAGTTTGACGTCAAGAAGCCGGCATCCATAATTGTTCCTATTTTGAGACAGGAATCTCATTCCTTTCATGCCGACCGGTGTCTGCGGCTAGGCCGGGTTACCCCAACTGGGATTTGACTCACAGAACCCTACTAATGGAAAGACCACTGACTGGAGTAAAAC